ATCTTCCTATTTTTAGTTTTTTACAACAGTAATATTCTTATTTCGATTGATCGTACACAATCCAGCTAGACGTACGGAAGTTTTGTAGTACAATTCATTTGGATAGAGTAGAAAATTTAACTTCACAATTTCAAAATTAATGACAAATTAGGCACGTAAGAATTAAACTATTAAAGCTTCGTACAACAGATAGCAAGATAGTACAATTCTTGTCCTTTCATGGACATGCTGACCCTTCAACAATTTACAAATTCAACAAAACTCAGAAGCAATCAACTTGTATCTGTTTAAATCAATCCATATTATCTAAGACATTGTTGCTCTAAAGTCTAAAGGCATTGCAAATATGGCTTCTCCCGTCACAACCATCTTTGCTGCATGTTTTGGCTTGTTGATCATGGTTGTTGCCGCCCATGAGGGGCACGAGCACACGTCTGGCATGGCCATGTCCCCAGAACCGGCAGCGAGTATGGGCAATCCTGTGTCTTCAACAACGGTGATTGGATTCCTTGCTTTGATTATTACAATTTTAGTTGCGGGAGAGAGAGTCTGATCCTACTTTGTCAGAATAATCTTATTGCCAGGGTTCTCTTGGATTTCCTTTGGTTTGGGTTTTTGTGTCTGAATGGTATCGCTGTGATTTTTCAATTTTGCTTCTCATTTCGTTGACTCGTTGCAAGAGTAATCTTTGTACCCTTGATATGATTAATTTATGAAGTTTTCATGTGTTATGATAATTTGATATTATGCAAATAGTTTGTCATTAGTGATCGGTTTTTACAAATTTTGAATTCCCATGAACAATTGGCTAAATGCAAATTAAATATACATGGTTTTGGCGATAGAGACACCATTATTTAATTCCTAAAATTCTATAATGAGATATAATAACTTCCCATAAAAGGTAATATATGCTAGCTGCAAATAAAAATTGAGCGTTGCGTCGTTGACCATATAAAAAATAAATAAAACGATATTACTTAGTATATAAATTTTCCATTTTCTTCTCTTCTTTTACCCCTTCTTCAATTCAATGATTCCTCTGATCTCTAATGTTATGCTAATCTAACTTTAGTTTTGCTGACATTCCAAAAACCCTTTTATCCTCTAACATCCACTCTATAAAGGGCAAAAACACCAAAAGAATAACTATTCACATCTGTCAAACTATGTATAATTTCGTACAAAGTTACTTCAATCAAATACGTTGCTTTTATAATAGACTGTCCATGAGTTTGGTGGGGTTAGATTTTGGTTCGGTTTAGACAAAATATTAACCGGTTTTAAGTTTGTTCAAGTCTAACTTGACTTGAAACATTGTTATAACGGCTTTTGCATTGTTAGATGTAAAAATTTTAAAATAATAAAAAAAATAGTTACTAATTTTTTAAAAAATATGATTAATCATTCAAAAAATTTATCTTGTTAATAAAACGATATAATAGATTTAAAATTTATCAAAAAAATAATTTTTGATTTACAAAAATAAAATTGGGTTTGAAAGTTAATTATAGGTGAGGTAGATTGGCACCCTTACAACACCTATTAAAATTGGTATCAATTAATCATGGTTTATCTTCGAAATTAGATAAAGGAAAAAAAATACGAATATCTCTAAAAATCTTCAACATCTAGACAGATTTTCGAAACAAGCTTACTTTTTATGATTTCCTAAAATGAAATTTTTTATATCTTTCTTTTTCATAAAAATTTATTACTATTATTATTTAATATTTATTTGTTTCTAATCTTATTATTTAATAATTCTCTAACATCTATGCAAATTATTTATTATTATTTTTAAAAAATTAATTTTTATTTCCTCCATCATCTAAGTAGAGATTAAAAAATCTTTTATTATTATTATTATTATTTATTTTCACCATCCGCATTTTTTAAAAAAAAAAGTGAAAGAAATTTTATTATTATCTTTACTTTTGTTTTTATTTATTATCTATTATTATTTTTAGCTTTTCATTTTTTCATTATTTTTATTTTCTGAAATATTTTAGATATTGACAACACAATCTTTATCTAAATTTATCTTTTATTATTTATTTAAAAAATAATAGCAATAATAATAATAATTAATCCAAAGCTTTTATTTTTCCTAAGCATTTTTAATTTATTTTATTTCTTTATCGAAATTTCACACACAAAATATAAAATATAGTATAAAAAATCAGAAATGAAATAAAAAATACAAAAAAATCGAAAATGCCCATTGGTCAAAGCAGTCAGCGGTCCAATGACCGGTTCAACATCTTTCAATTGGCTTCGAGTACTTTTAGCGGATTTTTGGCAGTCCAGAGTGATCCAGAGTGATTTACGACAATTCAAACCAGTAGCCAGTTCGGCTCAAAAGAGACGTGTGAGTCAGTTACAAGGATCTTGGGCTTGGTCGGGTTGACGTGCGAATCTACAACCTTTGAAACGACACCATTTTGATTTTTGGCCTCTCTTTTTTTGTGGCAAAATTGACTTCTTTTTTTTTTCTTTTTTTGGTTTAGCGCCGCTCCTCCTCTACTCTACTTCCACTGGTTTAGCGTAGATCAGCCATTGGGAAATCATCGTTCACCTCTTTCCTACTCTTTTTTTTTTTATGAAACTGACTTCTTTTCTCCTTTCTGCTGTTGGGTTCCTCACTGATCTGGTGAGGACTATGGTTTTTTTGTGTTTTTTGTTTCCCTTTTTGTATTGGCAAATGTGGTGGTTAGGTGTGCTGGGTTTGTTTTGGGTTTTATTTGGTAGTGTTCTTGTGGCTGAAGGGATTGTCTGCGCAATAGAAGGGGATTGGGCTACTTCTAGTTGTGGTCGACGATTTTGAAGTGGTTTTGGGTAATGGATGGGCAGTTTAGGTTGGCTTGAGATGTTGGTGGCTATGTGGGTTTGATATAGGGTGGTCTGGCTGGAATGGCTAAAACTTCTGGGATTTTCAGCCTCTGGTGTGGTTTGGGTGTGGAAACTAGTATTTTTTTTGTATAGGTGGATTGTTGGAAGTGGTCTTTTTTTTTTTTTTGCAGGAAAGTCAAATGGAGTAGGTTTTCTGTGCTTTTTTTTTGCGAAGGTTGTGATGAGAATTGGTGCTAGTGACCTTGGCCTTGGGTGGTGTCTACGTCTTTTGTATTCTTCCCTTCACATGCCATTTATATGAGACAACGAAATTTAATACTTACAGCATTGTAGCAATGTGATGTTGTCAGGGGTTTAATCAAATTATACTAAGGTAAAATAGGGTAAAACACGAAGAGAAACAGGATAGCATGAAATGGGAGCTGCAGTGCTAGTTTTAAGATAGTGAGAAAACTTGATGGATTTGTGCTACAATTAGTGGGTAGAACATAAGGTGAAAATTGAAAAGCTAAAAATGGTGCACCAAAGATAAGGCTAGTGACATGCTAAGCCTTAGTACTAGCTTGCCTTGTCCCTTTTTCATTTATTTATTTATTTATTATTTTACATATATTTTAATAAATTTTAAAACCAGTTAATTTATCCTAATAAAAATGACTTGAATTTGGTCATCCATTGGGCCTTGCAACCCTAAACCCAAATCACTTAATCATAATTCAAAATTGGGTTCCAGCTCACATAAAATGAAACCCCTCACAGCTTATCGTGAAATAAGTCTGATCAAGTTTCAAAATGGGCTCAAATTAAAATGACAACCAAACTCAAAAATCTATTGCAATTTATTCATTCCGAACAAAATTAAGTGTCTACAAATATGAGTCTCATTTTACTGTCCAAGCTTATCTCATTTTTAAAAGGTTTTGTCTAGGTCCATCCATGTTCTATTTTTTTCAAATGAAAAATAAAATTAATTTTTATAATAAATATCAACTATGATAAAATAAATAATGACAACATAAAGCCTAAAACAAATTTTGTAAATTTAATTTGCTGATTGAATGTGATTAGTATATATAGGCATATGATATAAATGTATATATATTATTTAATTATCTATTTATTTTATATAATATATAAATATAATAAAATATATATAATAGTTATTCAGGTCAAGCGTGGCTCGGGTCTCAAACTTTATGTCCAAGGCCTAGCTTGTTTTTTAAGCAGGCCTAAATTTCAAGCCCACACCAATTTAGTGGGCTTAAAATTCATATCCAAACCTTCTCAAATTTTAGGTAGACTTTCAAACTCGAACGGGTAACCTTGTCTTTTGACAAGTCTATTTTATAAAGAGTTAATTATCTATAATATTTGAATTTGAAAAAAAATATAAATTGGCACCAAAAAAATGAAATTTATAATTTGTACTATTAACTTTTAAATTATATATTATGTTAATCTGACCTCCAATCTTGGTAACCTTATCAGCTTATATAATCTTATATCTTGCTAACCTCCAATTTTGGTCAGATAATCTTATGAGCTTATATATGTGGCATTTAATAAATATTTCAAGTTATATGTTCAACATACATACTATCAATATTTTTTTTAATATAAATTAAAAATAAATTTTTTATCTAAATCGTAAAAAATATCAAGGATATATTAATTATTGTTTATAACTTGACATTCACATAAAATTTTTATAAAATATTTAACATTTTTATTTAATAAATAACATGCATATAGTAAAATTATATCAGTTAGATACCATATAAATGAGTTAAGTTAACAAATATATATTAAAATTTGAATTAAAATGATATATTATTTGAAAGTTAAATATGTAAATTATACATTTTATTTCTTTAAATACTAATTTTTTTTTTCTAAAATTTAGATACCATTTTTTTTTAAATCAGTATTTTATTAATGATGGTGAAGAAAGATTGGTGAGGCGACTTCACTACCATTACAGAACATAATGTCCCAGAGACACAACCTTATGAGGAGTGTCTTAAACAACAGTTATCAACTCTCTCTCTCTCTCTCTCTCTCTCTCTCTCTCTATATATATATATATAAACATATATAAACAGGATTTCTAAAAAAAAAGTGTAATTAAGTTTTTTTTATATAAACAATAGATTAGAAGGAATAGAACGATCGGTACTAAAACAATTTAGCAATAGGAATCAAATTGAACTTGTTGCAGAATTCGAGAGAAATGAAAGTGCAAATGCTGCATGAATTGCTGCCCCAATGGGAAACACATCCTCATCAATGGTGAAATAAGGACTATGTGGAGGATGTATGGCTCCAGTTTTGTCATTGGTAATGCCTAAAAAGAGGAACGATCCAGGAACCTTGTCTAAGTAGAAAGCAAAGTCTTCGCTCCCCATGAAAGTCGGAGCTAGTTTTGTGTTTTCTTCTCCTACTATCTCCCTGGACACACGCATTACATGTTCATATACTTTTTCATCATTGACAGTTGGAGGAATCATCGGATGATCCTTTCCTGAGAAGTCGATCTTAGCAGAGCACCGATGTACAGCTGCCTGAGCTTTAATTACCTGCAGGTCTCAAGAAGTTGGATATTCATGAATATTTACATTAAAAATCATCTTACTAAAGTAACATCTAAAATGCTATATGTTCTGTCAGGCTACCGTTCTTTCCCTAATCACGATTGGGTTTTCAAAACCTGAGTGTTCTTTGGTTTATGGTAAAGAGTAAGATGCCTCTATTTTTTTAGCAAGTTCAAGTTCCTTGGTAATTTTGTCTTTGGGTTTTGTTTCTATTGACCACTAGAAAGGAACCCCGGCTACACCAGGGATCAAATTTTTTTCAATTAAAAACTGCATATATTTAATTATTTACGGGAGTCGACCGTAAACCTGAAAAAAGTTGAATAACAAACATATGTACAGTTAAAAAAGCCCACAAGATGATCCTTCCCAAGGGATCTCGGCTTAAGTGTCATGGTTATGTAGCAGAATCATGAATCTCACATTGATTATGTATTAGAATCAATATTGAAATATAAATGTTCACACCACATTTAATTTGTAAGGTGTTTTTTATGAAAAAAAAATCATGAGACCTAAAATGTCAAAACGAATAATATTTTAAAAGTTAATGTGAACCATAACATTTAGTATTCGAATCAGTTTTGAGAATACCAACAATATGCCACCGAAGATGATAAGTTCTTATTGGAGTGGGAAGTATGTAATGATTCTAGAAAAAAAATTACGAATCTTATATTGACTAAGTATGAGAATCAGTTTTAGGATATAAATATTCACATTACTCTTAACTTATAAAGCGTTTTTTGTGAGGCAAAATCACTTAAATTGTCAATACCTCATAAGTTTGTGTGGACTGTGATACTAAACTTAGCAAGCTGTTTAGCAAGAGAACACAAACAAAACCCACCTCCTCTTGAATTCGATCAATCATTTCTTCACCAACTTCTATAAATACAAATTTTTGACCATATGAATCAACACCTAGTCCATCCAACTCTATCCACAAGCCAAGGCCAAGGTCTAAATCCAACGTTAATCAAACCACCCTTTTTAGAGCTTGCATATTTTGCTTCCTCCCCTTTATCATTTCTCTCATTTGCCTTGCTTACTTGAATAAAAACAACATTCGAAGTGGTAAGAATTCTAAAATGATATGTGCAAATTTGGAATCTTTGTCTTGTTTAAGACTTCGGGTTTTATTTCTCTTTCAATTTATTGTCTTGTAATGATTTTTTTTTTTGTTATCATTTTGTTATGAAAAATTATGTTGATAAGATTTTATAATGACCCTATCATTGCTAATGTTGATTCAATTGAAAATTACTCTATTCCTTTTAGTGGGGTTTGATTTGGGAGGAAGTAATTTTTCTTTTTGGAATTTTATTTTTTTATAATTTAATTTTTTGGTTTTCTTTATTGTAATGTGATTTATGAGATTTTTTAAGATTTTTAATAGTGTCAAGAAGTGAAAATCTAAGAGGAATCAAAAACTTTTCTCCCTGAATTTTTTTAAGAAGTAAAAATTTTTCCCATTTTTCCTCAATTTCATTTTTAGATTATATAAAAAATGTTATTTGCCTAAGAAATATAGTAATTTTTTATAAAATATTATTAAAATAAATTTTTTCTTAATATATTTTAATCAAAAATAACATTTTTAATATTGTGCTATTAAAATCCTCACAAAAGTTTCTTAGAGCAAAAACTGAAAAACTGAAATTAATGCTTCTGGTAAATTTGAAATTTTGATGAAAGACTCTAAGACGTGCAATGGTGCCACTTTCTTTAAGGTTTATTTGCCCTCATCGTATTATTTATCTAGTAGATGTGCAAAAGAATTGCAAGCAATAAACCTTGAGGATATAATGAAACCTAGTGACTGATTACATATTGCACTGACGAAATTAGTTATTGAGTAATCACCGGCATATTACAAGATCACTAAACTTCTATAAAGTTTTTCTGCAGCAAAACTTTTATAAAGGAAATCTAGAGTTTGAAGAAAGAGTGAGAGTTCCAAGAATTGTTTTTGAATATTTTCAAAAAACTAGAGGATTTTTTATGAATAGATAAATGTATTTTCCTACAGATATGATTGTCTATTTTGAATAAACAAAAATTGTCTATTTTTGAGCAATTGAAATTATTTATTTTGAACATACTTAATTATTTATTTTTTCCAATGTGAGATTATTTCTCATATTTTATTTTGAAAATCTCTAATAATCCCCCATCATTTTCAAAATAATCTAGATTTATGATGACCTTAGAAATCAATTGCAGAAATGAAAGTATCTTTCGATTTGAACCTTCACTTAGTGAAAACAAGTTAAAGTTAACCAAAATCGTATGGTAGACTATGCTTTGAACTAGCTATTCCATTCAATTAACCAAACTTGTCTCATATAATGATTTCAATACCAAATGAATGCTTGGTATCCGGTGACACATTTGTGGTCATATGTCTGCATACTTTTTCATGAGTGCTATTAGAGCCAAGCTCTTAAGCTCCTAGAAGCGACCACACTTCACGTTTACATAAGTAGCTTTCATCAAGAGTATTCACGTAACTATAACACTCTAACATATTAATGTTATGAGTCTATTAAGAGTATATTACTCATATTTCATTGACCTTTATGGGTAGTTAACAATTTACCTAGTACGGCATTAAACATTACTATAGTGCTAGCATTCACATACAAATGATGTACTTTGTCTCATTGAACTCAAGACTTGATGTTATAACCAGGGTTGAGTTGAGTTTCCATCATTGGTGACTTCACTTCATGAGCTTGAGCTTTATCCCTATTAAGGTCTTTTTTACCAATTTCTAGCAAGGTTTTTGGTTAAAGGATCAATCAAGTTTTCATTTGGCCTCACATAATTTATAGTGATCACTCCATCTAGACTTTCCATTGTATACTTGGCTATATGCCTTTGTTAGAGTTGCTTCACTATCAAATTCAAATAGAAATTGAAAAAATTGGTTTAGGCCATAAGGTACTTCATATAATAAATTTATTAGCCATTCAGCTTCTTTAGCTATTGTGAGTAATGTAATAAACTCAGCTGCCATGGTAGAATTTGTTATGCATGTTTATTTCTTGGAACACCAAGAAATGGCACCCCCACCAAGTATAAAGATCCACCCACTTGTAGAAGTATGATCTTTCATATTAGTAATCTGATTAGCATCGAAATATCCTCTCATAACTAAAAGATATCCACTACAACACAATCCATAATTGATTCTTTTCTTCAAATATCAAAGTACTCTTTTAACTATTTGCCAATTCAAGTTACTTGGATTACTTGTATACTTAACTTAACTTTCCAATAGCAAATGCTACGTATGGCCTTGTACAAGTCGTTGCATACATCATACACCGAATTACTCCTACATATATTCTAATTGATCGATTGTTCCGCAAGTATTAGTTACTAATTTTAGTTGAAAATCCATGGGTGTAGATACTGAAATACAATAAAAAATATCAAACTTTTTAAGTATTTTTTTAATATAATGCGATTGTGACAAGGTTATACCACTATCATTCCAAATTATTCTAATTCCAAGATAACATCCAGCTGCACCTATATCTTTCATTGAAAAGTTATATGATAAAAAATTTTTTGTTTTCTTAACTTGTTCTAAATCAATGCCAAATTTAGCGCATCATCCACATATAAGCAAATTATGACTTTTTTGTCATTTTCAAATTTGCTATATATGCATTTATCTAACTCATTAATTCTAAAACCATTAGCAAGAATGATTTCATCAAACTTTTGGTGTCGTTGTTTTGGTGCTTGCTTAAGTCCATACAAAGACTTTACAAGCTTACAAACCTTATGCTCTTGACTTGAAATGATAAATCCTTCCAGTTGTTCCATATATACTTCCTCTTCTAATTCACCATTTAAAAATGCTGTGTTTACATCCATTTGATGTATAATCAAATTATAAATTGAGGCAAGTGAAATTAGAAGCCTAATTGTAGCAATTCTAGTTACTGGAGCATAAGTATTAAAGTAGTCTATTCCTTACTTTTGTGTAAAGCTCTTGGCTACCAACCTTGCTTTAAATTTATCTATGGTTTCATCCACCTTCATTTTCTTTTTGAAAATCCATTTATAGCCTGTTGGATTAGAACCTGATGGAAGGTCAACCAAAATCCAAGTGTTATTTCGCATCATTGAGTCCATTTCATCATTTATTGCTTCTCTCCAAAAAGTAGAATCTTGAAACTTCATTGCCTCTTTATATATAACAAGATCAAACTCCACATTAAAACAATAAGGAATTTTATTATTTATGTTTTCACCAATCCCTTTCACAAGGAACATAAAGAAACATGGTCCAAAATCTTTTGCCTTTCTAACCTTTTTGCTTATCCTTATTTCTTAACAACATTTATCATTAATTTCAATTTGTTCCAATGGATTTGAAATTTCTTTTTCACTTGTAGAATGAATTACTTGTAGTTGTCTAGAAATAGATTTAAATATATTTTCATCAAAAATTGCATCTCTTGATTCAATAACAGTGTTAATTGAAATTGAATCATTTGGTTCAATAACCATGGACCTATATGCTTTACTATTTTATGCATATCCTATAAATATGCATTCTATTCCTTTTTCACCCAACTCTTTCGTTTTAGGTTTTGAAATTTTAACTATTGCTTTACATCCCCAAACCTTTCAATAATTAAGATTTGGTTTTCTTTTCTTCTATTGCTCATATGGGGTTATTTTTGTTTCTTTGTTAGGAATTCTGTTTAGTATTTGACAACTTGTTAATAAAGCTTCACCCCAAAATCCTTGTCCAAGACCAAAATATGATAACATTGCATTTACCATTTTTGTTAAGACCATGTTCTTCCTTTCAGCTATGCCATTCTGTTATGGTGTATAAAAAATAGTAACTTGATGGATTATCTCGGTGGATTCAAAGTAACTTGGACTATAATATTCTCCATCCTTATCCGACCTCAAGTACTTGATAAAATATTCACACTGAAGTTCAACTTCAGATTTATATATTCACACTGAAGTTCAACTTCAGATTTATATATTTTAAACTTATCAAGTACTTTATTTTTGGAATATAACAGATAAATATAACAATATCGAGTACAATCTTCTATAAATGTGACAAAATATTTATTTTGAGATAATGTAGAAGTGTTATGCATATCACAAACATCACTGTAAATTAACTCAAGTAACTTTGTATCTCTTTTAACCCTAGAAAAAAGATTTATGGTAATCTTAGTCAACATGCATGTATTACATTTATTAATGTCTTGACTAAATTCAGGTATTAACAGAAGCTTACTCATATCATGCAATTTTTTATAATTTAAGTAACATAATCTATAATGCCATAAATATGAAGATTCGACCATATAAGTAGAAACAACATTCTTATTTTTTATTAATAATATTGAGTTTGATTATTCCCTCATACATATATCCTTTCCCAACAAAAATCTATTTTAGATAAAATAAATTTATCTACCTCAAATACAAGTTTAAAACCAAACTTGTTTAACAGACTTTCAAACACTAAGTTCTTCCTAACTTTTGATACATAATAAGCATCATTCAAAGTTAGAATTTTTTCAGAACTGAATTGAAGGTCAACAGTCCCTTTCCCTTTGATTGTTGCTATAAAAGAATTTCCCATGAAAGGATACTGCCATATTCACTTGGTTTGAATGTTGTGAACATGCTTTTGTCCTTGCACACGTGTTTTGTTACCCTAGAATCAACCCATCAAGATTCATCATTTCCAAGCATGTTGGTCTCGAAAATCATGGCAACAAATTTTTTAGAAGTATCCCCTTTTGAGGAATCATTTTTTTCTGTAGCAACCGATATTCTTTCTTAAAATGTCCTAGCTTACCACAATGGTAACATGATCCTTTCTTATTCTTCTTGAATTTAGGCCAATTAGCAATATGCTTAAACTTGAACTTCTTTTTATCAGGCTTTGTAGTTTGTCTTTCCTCCAAAACATGAACTTTGGCATTACCAGAACCGAAATGCTATTCTTACTTTCTATATTCCTCTTCAATTCGAAAATGATTAGTCAAAGCCTCAAGAGTGATTTTTCTCTTTTTATGTTTCAGACTTCTTTTAAAGTCCTAAAGAAGTTTATCTATTATAGAGGACACAATAATTATTTTATTCCATACTTATATTATATTGTTTAAACTAATGAAGCATTCTTTCAATTCCATATAGTTGTTTAATCACAAAACGTCCATAAACCATATGATAATTATTAAAATAACTAACGAGAAATTCCTTACTTATTGTATCCTTGGTCATATACCTAGTCTCCATTTTGTCCCATAACTCATTTGCAATAACTTCATTTTAGTTTGTATCAAACAAGCTGTCAAACAAATCGTTCAGAATATGACCTTTATATATGTAATCTACATTATCCCATCTCTGCCTCTCTCTTATTACAACAATAGATTTTTCTATTTCATTTTCTTTTAGTTTAGCAATAGTCAGAACATATATAACCTTCGAGGTTAAAAGTAAGAAATGTATCTTCTTCTACCATCCTCGAAAATTGTCACCATCAAAACAATCCAATTTGACAAAACTATAAGCTAATTCCTTGAATGTTGCTGTAGTAGCCATTGTTGAACTGAACTTTAAGATTATTAGAGCAAACACTGAAAAATGAGAATTACTACTTTTGGTAAATCTAGAATTTTGAGAAAAGGCTCTAAGGCATGTAACGTGCCTAAGGTTTTATTTGCCCCTACCGTATTATTTACTTGATGTGTAAAAGAGTTACAAATAATAAACTTTGAGGATACAATAAAACCAAGTGACTGACAACATTTTGTATTGACAAAATTAATCTACTGAGTAATCACCAGCATATTACAAGATCAATGAACTTCTATAAAGGTTTTCTGCAACAAAACTTTTATAAAAAGAAATATGAAGTTTAAAGAAAGAAGGAGAGTTCTAAGAATTATTTCTGTATATTTTTAAAAAATCAAATAAGCCTTTTATAAATAGATAAGTATATTTTCCTATAGACATGATTGTCTATTTTGAATAGATAAAATTATCTATTTTTAAATAGTTAAAACTATTCCTTTTGAACGAACTTATCTCTCTATTTTGAACAAACTTAGTTATATGTTTTTATTTTTTCTTTTCTAGTGTGAGATTATTTCTCATATTTTATTTTGAAAATCTCTAACAAAGTTATGATTAAAAACACAATTTTTGTTGAAAAGATAAAAAAATTATTTTTTATAATTTAACAAAAATAACGTTTTTAAAATAAAAAAGTAATCTTTATTAAAATATAAAAATATTATTTTTTAAAATTTAACAAAAATGACGTTTTTAAGATAAAAAAATATAGTCTTTGTTGAAAAGACAACATTTTTAAAATAAAAATACAATCTTTGTTAAAAATATTAAAAAAAATTCAAAATTCAACAAAGACAACGTTTCTAAGATTAAAAAAAATGCAGTCTTGATTGAAAATACAATGTTTTTAAGATAAAAGTATAGTTTTAGTTGAAAATATGAAAAAATATTTTTGAGAATTTAATAAAGACAACATTTCTAAAATAAAACATAATTTTTATTAAAAATATAAAAAAATTCAGAATTTAATAAAGACAATATTTTTAAGATAAAAATGCACCCTTTATTGAAAAGGTGACTTTTCTAAAATAAAAAATGTAATCTTTGTTGAAAATATAAAAAATATTTTTTAAAATTTAATAAAGATGACGTTTTTAAGATAAGAAACACAATTTTTATTGAAAAGACAAAACTTACAAGATAAAAACATGGCTTTTGTTATGTTAAAAATATGAAAAAAAATAAAATGTAAAATATTTTTACTTAATATTATTATATATAAAATCTAAAATAACAGACTCAATATTATTACTAAACACAGACTTTGTTGATTTGCATATTTTTTCTACATAAGGCCAGTCAATGTTAAGATAGTAATTTAAATTGTGATTATATTTATTGAAAATATAAAATATTATTTTTTAGAATTATTTAGTTTTAACGAAGAGAACATATTATGCACATGGTAACATTATGAATATCATATATTATTCACGAATTATTAAGGACAATATGATGAAAGACTTTCTTATATAGTGAAAGACTTTATTATGTAATTTTACATTAATTCTTGTGAACTAAATATAAAAATTTTATATTCTCTAAATTAACAAAATTCAAGAATCATACATTTTTCTTTAATATTACTTTTTTTTAAAATCATTTTCTCTTTTAAAATCTAAAAATCCGTGAACCAAACTATTTTTAAAGGAATGATTTTGAGGACTAAATCTGGTTATGTTTCTTCAACAATGAGGGAGCCTTGCGTTTCTTGTACTACCTTGAGCATCCTGGTTCCTATCTAAACATTCTCTTTCTTGAAAGCATAATAAATTTTGACAATGATATTGCAGAAAGAGAGAGTTTTGAAGGAGAAAATATTCTTGGATCAGAAAAAATGACGCAAAACACAAACTCACAGCTTACATTTTGTTTCTTCTGAAATTTAGCCCATAAAATCTATCACAAACCCACGACCCACTTAAAATCCTAAACATAATAGAACAAGTGTCATTCTCCCTAAGGCTTAAGAGATTCTTTTAATATAAGAAAGTGTATCCATTAGTTTGTAGGTTTTTCAAGTGTTGGGACTATGTTGCTATCACTGCTCATTGGATTTCTTATTCAAAGTTGATAGGATAGGTTTCAAAGCTCTTTTGTACTAAGGTCTTTTTAACCTTTAGGTTGGATGAGGGTTGTAAACAAGTTGAGCTATTCATAAAACTATTCTAACTTTGATTTGAAAAAATTTTGAGCTTGACTTGTTCATTGTTGAGCCAAACTCAAGCTACTTGAGCAGTTAGTGGAATCTAGTTTGAATAGTTTAATATTCAACTCAAGAGGCTTACGACCCTAATCCAAATTAATCTAATTTTTTTAATTATTTAATATATATAAGTAAATAAAAAAATAATAGTATTTATCATCAATATTTATAATTTTGTTGAGTCTAATCAAACCTACCGAGCTAAGCTTGAGCAGTTCATTAAATTAGATTCAAGTTCGAACATGAAAAATAAAACTTAATCAAGCTTGAATCGTATTTCGAGCCTCAAGTTTTTTAATCGAGTCAAGTTTGAGTCTGGTAATATATTAACTTTTGTTGAGTCTAATCAGACCTACCAAGTCAAGCTCGAGCGATTCATTAAATTAGATCCAAGCTCAAGCATGAAAAATGAGGTTCAATTAAGCTCGAATCGTATTTCGAACCTCAAGCTTTTGAGTCAAGTCAAGTTTGAGTTTAGCAATATATCAACTTGATTTGATTCAATTACAACTTAAATTGGATATTTGTAACCTTTTAATTACTTTTTAATAAATTCTCATTTTGGCTGAGAAAAACAATGCAGGCCCACTGATTTTTGTCCAGCAATAATAAAAATTCAAATTCCATATGCATTTTCTTAGTACCATTAATCATTTGTCGACTAGGAGATAAGTAGTCAGTAGTCACCTCTTCTATTCTGTCTCTGAGTGCATTGAAGCTCTTCTTTCTGAAAGCTCTGAAAGTTCCAGCTATCGTTGTTGAGTCTGGGATGACATTGAATGCGGTTCCACCACGAATCATTGCTACTGAGACCACCTGCAGTATGCAATACTCTGACAATTGTGACATAATTACATTAAATCTAATGTCCAAGAATCGCAAGATCAAATGACTTCGTTTGGCTAATTAATGAAAACCTTGACATTATCTGAAACAAGAAGTATACCTGAGAATCTAAAGGGTCTGTTTCCCTTGAAACTATATTTTGTAGGCTTATTACTGCTGTTGAAGCTGCTAAAATTGGATCAATGGTGTGTTGGGGAATTGCAGCATGACCTCCTTTTCCAATAATTGTGGCTTTAAAGCTCCCACACCCTGCTAGAAATTCCTGAGGTCGTGTGGCAACAACACCAGCTGGATATCCATGCACCAGATGCAACCCAAAAATGGCCTTTACATTTTCAAGCACCGCCTCTTTGATCATGTCTTTAGCTCCTTCACCCCGTTCCTCAGCTGGTTGAAAAATTAGAACTACGGTTCCCTATATCAAAAATCAGATTTTAATTAATTTCTTATAAGAGAAGTGAAGAATTAATACTCTAAAACAAATTGAGTTGTGGCATAATTATGCTTCACCTGTAACGCGCATCGCAATTTTTGCAGTATCTTTGCTGCTCCAAGCAGCATGGCAACATGGGCATCGTGGCCACAGGCATGCATTTTGCCATCTACTTTGCTTTTATGCTCCCATTCCACCAATTCCTACATATTAAAACTGCAGACTACATGACATACAAATTACAGACATCCCATTAAAGCGTAGTATTTCATTTTTTGTTCTCAAGGCAGGGCTTGACGGTCAAATTTCTCAAACCCAAGTAGTTCCTTATTTCATTTCTTTCATGCGATCTAGTAAATCTGAAAACAGGATCAAGCACAGGCTAGAAATTTATTTCTGGTTCAGCTTCCTTGCTTATCCGATCTTCTAGAAACATGACAAATGAACCCCAACCCCCATTTTTCTGTAACAGTAGAAGCCATATGTTGGCGGCACTCCCTATTGAACTTGCTTTCCATAATTCATTATCATCTATAAACATTTTTTCCCTATGTTTTACACAAAACAGAGCTGACTTTAATAAAACAACAAAAAAAAACTGTTACCATACACTATATTATACAATAACATACATTTTTTTTATATAAAAGAAACCGCAAAATGCAATATGAGAATAAGAAAAGAGATTATAGATATTGAAATTTAAACTCTAAATTTACTGAATGTTATCTTTTTAAACAACTATATATATATGAACTAACCAAATTAAGCTCAGGTTCAAATACCAATCTCTTTCTATGACTATTGATTAGTAAACTTTTCAAAGATGTGCTAATGATCTCCTTCACTAAAAAGGGAAGATAAGAAGGAAAGAATTTTTTTCCTGTTTCACATCTAAAATTCTTTTAGAACTGTTGATGATAGTTAATTGTTTGCTTCAGCAGATGCTCTATGCCTATTGAATACATATTACATCAAGGTTACGGCGGTCAAGAACCAAATTCAAAGCCCAGTGGGTCCATAATCCATGAGTACACAGTTCAAAATTTCTTCAATGAAAGCCTCGTATTAGAAAATATAAATTCCCTCTCTTCATTTAAAAAAAGAAGTGAAAAAGTTGAATGATAAAGAAGTACAAAAAACTGACCTGAATAGGTAAAGCATCCATATCAGCTCTTAAAGCAACAAAAGGTGGAGAACCAGACCCAATTGTAGCCACCACACCAGTTGTAGCCACAGGCCATCGGTAAGGAACACCAAGCAGATCAAGTTCATGCCTAATAAGCTCACCAGTCTCAACTTCTTCATATGCAAGTTCAGGGTACTCGTGTATTTTCCTCCTTATCTGCTTCATCCAGTCCACTGTTTCATGATCATTTGCCAGCCTAAGTATCTGGTCTTTGACCGACTCGTTCAGACAAGTTGGTGGAGTGAAAGAACTGAAACTCTCCTCATGGCAAGAGACTTGGAATACTAGAGTTATGGAGATTAAGAAGATGTCTTGTAGAATGTCCAGGGCCATGGCCGAGGCAAAGTTGATTCAAGGTGATAAAAAACAGTGTCGCTGGTTAGGAGTTCATTGAATTTTTTACGAGGCTTTTTCTCTCTTGATTTTTTTTTTATTTATTTATTAAGTGGGTAGTATTTTATTTTGATTTCTTGCACTGTTTCTGGTCTTATGCATTAGTACATTTCATTTGACTTGAAAAGCACAGATGCAGGATTCTAGACCTTTGATCAATTCCTGTCCACTCACCCCAATGAGTCCAATAATAGAATAATATTCATCATATTTACATCAGTTAATTGTTATTGGCTGTTATAGTACAATTTTGTTTTTAGGTAATTAGTCCGCCTTTCATCACCATCTAATAAATTTCACATTCTCCACGTTTTCTCTTTCCCCAAATTCCTCGATTTGTGTCAAATTCCCCTTCTCCATCAAAATTTGTTAGAAATCAAAGTTGATAAAAAATCAACCATCTCTTCCTCCAGCTTATATAAGAGTATTAGGTGATATTTGAGGTATAAAATAATAGATAAAATAGTATAATAATTATTTTATATTTTTTTATTTATATTTAATTAAAAAAGATGTGATTACAAAAAAAAATAATATTTTTTATTATAAAATAATTCAATTTTTTAAAAAAATTATTTTTAATCCATGAGAATAAATTTACATATTCTATTATACTTTTAAAAATTACATCAATAATTTTAATTGTATAAATTTTGAGGATAGATAATTTTGATTGATAAATAAATTATTATATCTTAATTCTTTGTATATATAAAATATAAGATAAGATAACATTATTTAATTTATTTATTCATAATATTATTTTATCTTATTTTATTATAATTTTATATATCAAAATATGATCTAAATAAATTAAATATAAATAAATAATATTATTATATTAATAATTTATTTATTTAATTAATGAATATTAAAATATTATTTTCATAAAAATATTAAAATATTATTTATAATTATTTACTAAATTTAATAAATAAATATAAATAACAAGCAAATTTATTTATGAATTATTTATTAAACTTTTTTTTCGTTTAATCTTTTAAATTTACAAAAATTACTCATCTAGTATTAAATTTTCTCAATAAATTATCCAATAAAGTAGAGGCTTGATATTTGTAGACGATACGTCTTGGAAAAACATTGTCCGTTTCACCTGTTTACAGACATAGGATTCAGCGTTCACGGTCTTTTCTGTTAGTCATAGTAAAACTTTATTTTTGGCAAAATGGCATTGGTAATTCTATTCACTTCCTAATTTTTATTATTCACATTTTTTTCAAAATTATTTTTAAATAATTATATAATTATCTTTTTTTTCTTTTCTTATAACACCCTTTTTACTTTTAAGCTTTTAAATTTGTAAATTTGTAAATTCTTAAAATTTTCATATTTATATATCCAAAAGCTTCAAATTTTTGTAAAATATTTTTTCTTAACTAATTTGTTTAAATCTAATTATAACTTTTTTTAAAACTTCCTAACATACATTTTCAGTAAGTTATATACATATTTCACTACCATAAACTATTTTATAATTGAAGGATTACCAATCAAATATAATTATAAAAAAATTTCAAAATCATCGATAAAATTTACCAATAAATTTTATTCTGTCAACACCTCAAACTGCAATGAGAAGCCCAATATCCAAGGTATTCTTCAATAATTGAAACCAATAATATATTATTGTGAAAGTGTTGTTTTATTGATGAATTTTTGTAAGACTTTTTGTGCCTTTGATGGACTATTTGTTAAAATAGATCAATAATTACATCGTATTATCATTTAGATAATTTTTTTTAGTACGGTAATAATTGCTCATATGGTTAACCAATAAAAAGGTTGAACATGTTATGAGACTTTATTGCTCATATTTCAATTTAAAATACTAAAAGTTATATTTTAGACCTTTATGATGATTCAATAAGGGTTGAAAGAATAGATAAAGATCACTCATGGGTGTACTCTTGCTTAGATGTAAATGGATATATTAGTAAAAACTTCTGCAATGGTGTGGACGAATTTATTAGATATGCTTATTCTCAACCATACTTTGTAAGTAATGTAAAGATTAGGTGTCGTTGTGGTAAATGTGAGAATAAAAGGTTTTTAAAAGTGAATGTTATGCGTAAGCACTTTTATTATAAGAGATTTACTCTTGGTTATACTAGTTAGGTCTCATATGAAAAGTTAGAAGTATGACAACTATCAATAAACAGAGATATCTCTAAACCAATGAGTAAATTAAGAATAGAAAATTCATATACTAGAATGGTTATAGATGTTCCTAATTTTGGGGTGGATGGTTCTCATGCCAATAGGCAAGAGTTGATGAAGAAGATCCCAAGTTTAGACGCGACAAGCTTTTATTCTTTGTTGAATGATGCGAATGAACCATTGCAGTCAGGCTATACAAAGCACACAATCATTTCTGCTATGTTGCAACTTTTAAATAGTAAATCAAAGTTTAATACGAGTGTTATGTTTTGATTGTCTAATTAACATAATGAAAAATATGTTATCAATGGATGATAAATTGCTAAAAAATTTCTACAAAATGAAAAAAAATGAAAAAAATAGGACTTGGTTATAAGAAAATTCATGTATGTGAAAATAATTGCATGTTATTTTATAAGGAAACAACAAATTTGACGTCTTGTTCGGTTTGTGGTCATCCTCAATATATAAAGAATAAGTATGGTAGTGAGATAAAAAAAATTTTTATAAAATCTTATATTATATACCATTGATATTGAGATTTCAAGACTTTATATATTAACTAAAACTACTAAATATATAACTTGGCATGCCTATAACCAAAGTCATGATAATGTGTTTCGACATCCTGTTGATAGTAAAGCTTGGGAACATTTTAATCATAGCCATGATCATTGCACTTGAACTTCAAAAATAATATTAGGATTATGTGCAAATGATTTTTGTCCATTTAGTCCAAGTGTGAAACCATACTCTTATTGGCCAATAATGATAGTGGTATATAATTTGCCACCATGGTTATGTATAAAGTGAAATATATCTTGTTGGATATGATCATTCCAGGAAAGAGTAATCCAGGTCAAAATATAGATATTTTCTTGATACCTTTAATAAATAAGTTAAAAATATTGTGGTCGAATGGTATTATGACTTATGATGCTTATACAAAATAAAATTTTCATTTGAGGAAAGCTTTTTTATAAACAATTAATAATTTTTTTGCATATGATATGTTGTCTAGCTAGAGCACTCATGTAAACTTATCATGTTCTTATTGCATAGGATAAAGAAAGCCTATTCAATTGGCTCATGGTAAGAAACTTACTTTTTTCGATTGTCATATTCAGTTTTTACGTCTTGATCATCCTTTTCAAAGGTAAAGATAAATTTTCAAAAAAAGTTGAGCGTGACTCCCCTATTGTTCCATTATCAGGTGAAGAAATTTTGGCCTAATTAGATAGCTTTCTTCTTATCACATTTGGCAAGAAATATAGTGATCAAAAGTTAAACGGTTTTGGAAGAAATGATAATTGGGTGAAAAAAAGTATATTTTAGGAGTTGTTCTATTGGCATACCAATCTTATCTGACACAATTTTGATGTGATGCATATTGAACATAAAGTCTTTAATAATGTCTTTAACACAATGATAGATGTTAAGAGTAAAACCAAAGATAACATAAATGCTATACTAGATCTTAAGGTGCATTGCAAGTGACCTAAGTTGGAATTGGTTGAAATGAATAGGAAAGTTTTCATGCCGAAAGCTTCTTACTCTTTAAGCAAAGAGCAGCGAAGAGACGCTTGTGCATTGCAAGTTTTATGGGATGAAAAGTCATGATTTCATGTCTTTATGAAACAATTGCTCCCAATTGTCTTTTATGATTTTGTGCCTAACTCTATTTGGGATGCAATTACTAAGCTATCTTATTTTTTAAAAGATCTGTGTTCTACTAAAATATATATAGATCATATGGAAATGTTGAAAAAAAATATTATGGAAACAATCTGCAAATTAGAAAATATTTTTTTCTCTAAGTTTCTTTGATTCTATAGAGTATTTTGCCAATTCACTTGCCTAATGAGGCAAAAATTAGTGGACCAATTCATTACCAATGGATATATCCATTTTAGAGATAATATTTTTTTGTTAAACATTAATATTGATTAATTTAATTTTCCTTTAATAACATTTATGTTATGCTATGATAATGACTAGGTTTCTTCATCATCTCAAGAAAAAAATACACCAATTGAGCATTTGTTGAAGCATTTATATGTGAAGCATATGTTATCAAAGAGATATCCATTTTTTCTCATTATATTTTGATCCAAATGTGTCAACAAGATTGAATTGAGTTCCACACAATGATGATGGGATAGTCATAGAATATAAAGGACATTTTTCGGTATTCACTCATTCTAGCCAAGCATTTGGTCCATAAGATAAATCTTGATGGCTATCAGCATATATGCATATTAAGGCACACTTATATGTTTTATTGAATTGTGAAAAAATAATCCTTACATTAAGCAAGTACTGTGTCAACTTTATAATTTATATTTCTAGTAAGTTGACAATTTTTTTAATTCATAATTAACAATGATAGAATATTTGATGACTCAATGAAAAAAGAATTTGTCAATATAAGTGATGTAGAATTGCAGAAAGAACGTGATGTAAGATTTTTGCGTTGGTTAAGACAATTTGTAAGGGTTTAGCACATAATAGCATATGTGAATATAAATTATATTTGATTTAACACAATGATCAATTTTTTTGTTTTACAATTTATTTAGTTTAAAGAACAAAATGACGATATTGATCGTCATCTAGTTGAGATAGCATATAGCTTGAGACACATGGTCAAGTGTTTTAAAGGTTACTTTGTGAATGGTTTTAAGTTTCATATGGTTAACTAAAGCCAAACTCGAAAGACGATGAATTATACGGTATATGTGAAAGGAAGTTATTACAAGAATTATGAGCGTAACTTTATGGTCTCTTAGAAAATATCATTGAGTTATAGTACTTTAGAGCAGGGAATAAGATTATACTTTTTAAGTGTCATTGGTTTGGCACAAAAAAGGGAGTAAAGATAGATCCCCATCATGGTCTTGTTGAAATTAGACATAATTCAATGCTTGCTAGCAATGGATCATGTGTCTTAGCTTTGCAAATACACCAAGTTTCTTATACAAGCTATCCTTTTAGAAAAAGAGATCAAAATGATTGGTAGGCAGTCTTCAAAACAAAAGCCAAAAGTGCATATCGGCTAAGTAATATTGATGGACATGAAGAATAAACAATTGATTAAATGAAAATGTGT